TTCTCTTGAAAATGAAATTTTCCCAAACCCTAATACCTCATTAGCCCATACCCGCTTCCAGGAACCCGACCCATACGATTTATCCAGAGCCCAAATCGACCCATCGCCTTCTTTGATCTCCAATCTAGCTTCCGTCACTAGGAAGATCGTAGCACCATCCGCCGACATCACCCCACTCTCTCTCTCTCGCTTCTACTGCCACCCCATCGTATCCACATTCACCGTACTAATTCACAACAAAAAATGCAGCCACACCCGTCGATGACGGCCAAGTCGGTCACAACGAAGCACCACTAAAAGGCGAATAGTTCCGAACCTGACTTCCCACTGTCTAGGTCCACAAGCACGTCACTTTGACCAAAACACAGAAGCCGTATACTATAGAAAACTGCCCAGGTCATGTCCCGGTAATGGAACCAAAGCTCCAGCCAAAAATCTTACACCACAAAGAAAACCTCTGATGCCGCAGCACACTTGACGTACCGAGAAGTCACACGTTGACAGAGTCTCTCAACCATCGACCACCACAAGAAACCCACGAAAATCGAGGATTCAGTATAAAGTTCACTACGTAACTCTGATACCATGACAAACTGAATGTTTTTCCGTAAGGGATTCCTTCCATTATATAGGATAAGTATCAATCTAAATTTGGTAAGTAATTATACAATTGTATACATAATTATGTTAAACGGGCAATGTATGTTAAGTCGTAATCTTCGACAATCTCCGTAATTTTTGTTGATCTCATCTCATTGACATGTTCAAGCCCATTTGTTCATGGTCTTGCTCCCCTTGTTTAATGTATAGCACCTAATATACTGTATACTTTTCTTCTCAGCAAAATTTTGTAAGTGTTGTAGGGAGACTTCGGGAAATGACACATGTATTAGGTTGCCCTAATATTTGTCTCTTATATAAAAGGTATAACAAGCCTCATTTCTGTATGTCGGGGTATAGAGAAAACAGAGAGATGTGAGTTCACAAATAAATTGTACTTCTTTTCTTCTATAAAGTGCAACTCTATAGTGGCACCAAGTGGACATGGTCTTACATTGAGAGTGAACACTTTAAATTGTTTGTTTTCTTGCTTTCTTTTATCCTATTTCATGTTATTAACTGCTCTCAGTTATACAGATTACTCGCTTAACCTATTAAACCCCGTCCTTGTAGTTTAGGTCGTGCATTTCCACATACAACACATAGGAAGAAGAATAAAACCAAATCTCGTTAGAGGTAAATGCTTCAAATACTTTACTTTCTAAGTGTATTTCTTTTAGGTCTAAGTCTCTACAGATCAAGCATGGAGTAAAAAAAAATATGAAACTACAAAACTAATATGCAAATTCAAAGAAGAATATAACTAATGCAAAAGGTTCATATATGGAAAGAATCTAACATGCTCCTAGAAATAATATGTTGAAGAAGAGGGAGGCTTCATATCAATGTCAGATCAGCCGATATAAAACCAAAATAACAATAATAATAGTGCTGCTACTAATAATAATATATTAATGAGCATATCTTTTCAACTTACTAAGGTGGTATCAACCCCTTTGGAAATTAAGTTGTCTGCAAATTGTGATGCAATGGTTGTAACGAAAACCGAAGCTAGTGGAGGAAGAACAGAGACCTGAAATTACAAATAAGACTGTAATATTATCCTCACACATTCCTAAGAAAATGCATTGTAAGCCTTCAATTCTTTATGTGCAAGCCGACAAGCGATACATTGTACTTTTGGATGCTGTACAGGCAGATTGTGTTCATCACTATATTGCTTATGCCCCTTTTTTACAACAATAGACGTGCATATATCAACCAAATTATGAAGCATGTGCTGCTTTATTCTACTGTTTCTTTTAACCTGGGAGGTAAAGTAGTGTTGACTGAATGTTCATTTATTCCCTTGGCATTACCTAACACAAATCTCCGAGTATCTAATTTTCACAAACATTTCTGAGGGAGCTCAACTTCATGTATCTTCTATGTTAGAATCTTCTAGAGGCTTTTTTTCTTTTAGCTAAACTATTTGCCTCAAAGCCCAGTTACTTTTTGAGATCATAACTTGATTTGGATTTGGTGCACCTCATGGGTTTTGGCCCAATAGTTTGTTTTGATGCTTTAGTGTAAGCCTTCGGTTTTGTAATGGGTGGAACATGTATGATGTCATAGCAAGGTCCCATAACCTGTTGAATCTGACTGAAACCTAATTAACAACTGGATAAAAGTGCATCATTCTTTGAGATTTGAGAATCACAACGTAAAAAGAAACTTTTTTCTTAGAGAACAACAATACCTGCAATAATACTACTGTTTCGTAGTTTAAAAAGGTCAAAATTGATTCCACTTGTAATGTAATTAGAGGATTTAATAGAAAAGTACATTTTTTTTATGAAGGAGAAACAGAACAGCTACCTCCTCAGTTTGCAAGCTATAATAGCACAGAGAAGAGACTATATAGTCACATGCAAGTAACATAAATGAAAGTGGCATTGTGACTACAATACCATTTCAGTGTGATTATAGGATCAATGAAAAGATTTCTCTCATAATGGTATAATTCAATAAAATTTGGGGCAAACATTTGATGGGTCATCATTATTTGCTCTACACATTAATTTAAAGGTAAGCAGTACACAATTTACTAAATAAGTTTACTGTAGACTTACCCATGCAGCTTCAGTCAGATTGAGGTTCAGTTCTTCACTGCAAGAGATGTAGCTAGAAATTATAATTTGTTTGATAAAAAATTACGTGAGAACCAAACAAGTTACCATCCAGATGCTTAACACCAGTGACTACGAACTGGAAAGAAAGAATAGTAAGGAATGTTCCATCATCCATCTCAAATCATATGGTAAGGAGTGAAGAGACTTCTCATATTCATACTAGTTTGGAAAGCTGTTTAATTTCAGAGAAACGATCTTCAATTCTTCTATGTACTGAGCAATAATAACACGAAACGAAGAAAATAGAAAGCAATAACTCAAAATTTAGTGTGGTTGACTCTTCAACGAGAGAGCTACGTCTACTTTATGATTTCACTATGACAAAGGAGAATTGCAATGTATGTAAACTCACAGTCTATGTAATGTTTTCAATGCACCAGGAATAGGTATTCATATTTAAAAGATTTTATCAAAAATATTAGTAACTATAAAACTGAATTTATAATGTATAAATAAATAATTTTAAAGAGTTTAATCAACATATTGACGACAGTCGTGTCAGAATTATTTTGAAAAATCGCGTGTTGGTGTGTCCGACATTTATCGAATCGGACACACGTGTCCGTGTTGGTGCATCATAGAAGACATAGAATCTTTGTCCGGATGGTAAATGGGACGGGAACAAGGAACAGGGCCTTTGCCTCGAATTCCCCAAATCCACCCCATTTTTTATTTTTTGTTTTGTTTTTTCAATTTAAATTGTATTTAAAAATAAAAAATAGTATTAAAAAATAAAATAATAATTAAAAGGTGCTGTAAATTGAGATATTTTAATCCTCACCCCGTTTTCACCTTCCTCCACACCACCGTTGCCATCATTAACCATTAAAAGAGTCTTACCCTAATACCTATTATAGGAAGAACTATTTAGGAGACTTGATACATGTAGGAACATTCATAAGTACCCCTATAACACTGCAAAATTTTGCCTCATTGGCTCCTGTCCCCTACCTCCATTCGAACCACGATCAACGAAAAAAGGAAATATTGCGATTAGGCTCCACACCCAACACGTGCAAGCCCAACTTACGCATCGAAAGATGATTAAAAGGTGGGTCAAATATGGAACAATTAAGGAACAAGAAGGTGCAACCTTGACACAATAAGGACAAGGAGAAGCAACGGCACAAACATGGAAAAATATCAATAATCAATGAAATTAGTATGGAAGATACTTATTTTCATAACCAAAATTCTAATATCATGATAAAGTACTACTCTCAGGACAATTGGTAATGAATGGAAAGGCTAGTGGCGGACTTATTCTAGTTTGAAAAGTTACAATTTTTCAATGTTACAAGATCCAGAATCGAAAAAGTTGGACCAAGAAGTCCCATGTGCATGCTTAGCAAGTGATACTTCTTTGACCAACTCCACTAAAAATTACAGTATATCATAGTCCACTCAATAGCTTAAACGCTCAAACAGCAGTAGCCGTAGATAGAAAAAGAATGAAGATCTATGTATTTAAGGCTTCAATAATTGACAGCTAATACAACTCATAAAAAAAGATATCAGGTTATTTCCCCTTTATTTTCGCCATGTTTAATTTGAATAAGTTGAACGTTCACCAGCTTTAATTTTCAAGATAGACTAGCCATCTTTACCTAAAACATTGCTGATGTTAGTATAAAATATGTATTAAGTACCTCAGGAACTGAAAATTTGAAGTTCCATTTTATAACCACCCGGTAAAAATGAGAACTCATAATCCAATGTCTCAAATCTATGGAATTATAATGAAACTATCACTAGGGTGTGTTTGATGAATAATATTGAGGAAATAATGTATTTTAAATAGTGATATGATGGGAAATATGTGGTTAAAAAGTAAGGAAAAGTTATTGATGTGATGGAAAGTATTATTTTATTGAAGAATGTGTGTCAAACGGGGGCTCAAAATGACAAACTCAAAGGTTCAGATTAAATTCACTTGCTAAAAAAGATACCTGAAATATGTAGGAAGCCACGATAAACAAGTATAATGACCCCAACTTCCACAGAAATGAACATATATCATTGCCCATACAGCTTTACTTTTGAAAAAAGCCTTCCAAGGAACATCCTGTAATTTCACAAATATAGTTGGATAAAGAAAGGGGAACTCCATCTGATGCTTGCCTGCTCTTTTTAATTTTAATTTTCCCTTTTAATAGCAAGAGAATTATTATTATGTTTTTGTCTTTATGCAAACAGCTGTAGCAGATATATGTAGTAGTACATGAGAGAACTCTCATTAATACGCTAGAAGGGAAAATTTCTCAGTTATGTGGTTTATTTGCTCCCTGCAGCTTAAAAATTTATATTCGAGGCAAATATCATAATATAATATTCTTAGCCAACAATTTACATCTACCTACAGCATTTTACCTACCGTCAATGAGTCCCCCAACTCCTCCAAAGAAGAATTCCATGAGCTATTCCAAGAGTCAAATTTAGGCCCTGTAGGAGATAGATTACACTATTTATGCGAGTGAGAGAAGGATCTAACTACAAATTTTTCTTCCCTATCCAAACTGAAAATGGTAATTCAAAAAATTTGAAACAATCAGCTGAATATTGCGAAAAGACTAGCTTACATGATAGTTCACCATTAAATAGATGCTGATCTTCTTTAACAAACTGAAATCCCAGAAACCTGCAAGATAGTTTAATTATTATAAAAGCAAAAATAAAAATAAATAAAATCTATGAATCACCTTAATCTTGAACTTCAGTTAATAAACTCAATTATCTCCGGATTTCTATATAGTATAAAATTAGAGATAATAAGGGATAAATTATAAAATGATAGATATGCTTTAAGATGTTTCCTCAACCCCAATATCAATATAGCTTATTTTTCTTGTCTCAATGCTGTCAACTGTTGTCCATTACACCTTACCAAACATGTCATAATATTTTGGATCCGGCTGTTTGATTCTAACTCAAATATGAGGTAATTTCCGTAATCATAATCCAACAAAATATGGGACAGGTTAGTTCCTAAATTAGACAATTTTATTGTCTACAAATATAGGTCATTGTTCAGGCTGTTGTAGAAAATATAACAATGTAATACAAATTCCATATTTCTTTTCTTTCACTATATATGTTAAAAGGGAAATGATACTTGTACATTAGGGGTGCCGGGTGTCCATTATGAACACCCTTATGGCACCCCTAATGTACTTGTAGCAAAGCCCATGTTAAAAACCTTACCACGTAATACCTAGGAAGCCAAAAATGTAGAATACAGACTCCCATCCATAACTTTGTATTAGTGGAGGAGCCAAAAGAAGCCTGCAGGTTCATAAATTTAAATGTAATTAGTGAGAAAATACTGATCATATTTTGTCTGTAAATTTGACAGATAACTAACTGAAGTAATACTTGGCTCTCCTTTTCAACATATGAATCTTGAATTGTGATGGAGCGTACATAAAAGAAGTGCACTTGAAATTTTTGTACTCTAGTTGCTAGCACGAAACTCAATAGGCACCAATATCTGAATTAAAATTTGACTGGCATGGTTGAACAAGGAATTCTTGCAGTACAAAGACTCGTGTAGAATACAATAATATGATGCATAATTAGGGACAAGTAAATGATATTGTGTTCCATGATTATTACCCTAAGACACTTCCAACACTCAAGCCACCAAAAACAAATGAAACTGCTCGTGACCGCTCTTCAACTGGTATGGTCCTGTACACAGCCAGAATAACACCATATACAACATAAGTGAATAAAAATACACAGCATTACCAATCTTTTGAAGAAGGCAGGAATTTTACAAACCATGTGAAGATTAAATATAATAACAATGAATAAATGAGTATATACTACACGCAGGAGGAAGATTATAAACCTTTTTCCTGAAATCATTTCTCTTTCCTTCTTTTCTCTTATGAATTTTTTTTCCTTTTAACTGAGGGGAAGGCAACCAGGTGGCAGAGTATCTATGGAGTTGTATAAACAATATGAAACAATTCATCCAAACAGCGTACCTGGCAATCAGATCAGTTGCAGCTGAAGGTGAAACACCTTCTCCTATTCCAACCTGAAGCAGCAAAATTGATAAATCTTAAATGAGTTAATTAGAAGAATAATGATGAAGATTCTTCACCATTATATTAATTCGAGATGAAGGATGCTAAAATGATAACCTAAGACACAAGAATTTCTTCAATATTTTCATGCATAAATAGACACACGTGATCACTTAGAACTTGATGCCAAGCGAAGTCTCATATTCTATGGAATTACCAATATCCTGGACAAAATAAGTCCGGGCATAAAGCCAGCGAGACTAGGAACCAGTGCTGTGGCTAGTGACCAGATCAAGACACCAACCTCAAGAACTTTTCTGAGAGGGATAACAGAAATTGATTAGAAACAAGCTTGATGAGGAAAAACCAAATCAAGGAAAAAACACATGCTCCATCCAAAAACAAATAAAGCAAAGAAGAGGATCATAACGAGTTTTATTTATGATTTCCTACTTTGTAGGATCAAAGAAAATGATATAGTTGTGTTTTCAATTTTAAGCAGCTTTCCACCGCATAGCAGAGAGAATGATTGGGAAAAAAAAAATCCTTGTGTACGTTATAAGCCAATGTGAGTTTTTACTTATCAACTGAGCTTAAATACCATAGAGTTTATTCCAGACATCGTAATGGAAGTTTAAATTCTGCATTAATATTTCTCTCTCCTCGAGATGTAACTCATCAAGAGGTAAGGCCTTATACCCCCTTTTGGCAATTTTCCTGGTTACAGGTAAGGGTTAGAGTTAACCCCCAACATATGCCTCGGTAGAAGCCTAAAAACTTCTTCTGAGACATAGTTGGATTTTATTATTAAGAAAAAAAAATGAAAATCCATATTATTGGTAAAATGTTGATTTCATAAAGCTACTTGAGATGGGGGAAAATTAACGTCACTCCCCTCCTTCTGAATAATATCTATTTTGATTGAAAAAAATGTCAAAATTATCAAAGCTTCGAAGATAACCATTGAGTTTCTATAACTTCTCTTCCAATTAGAGTAGGGTTTTACCTTTTATGCTTTGATCATGCAATATAGCTTCGTGGTTGCACCAATTAATATTTGAACTTCAGCAAGATTTTTATTTCTATTTAAATAAAATAAAAAAATCCGGAATTACATTAACCTATTGAAAAATATCATATAGCTAGGAAACTAACCTCCCTCCGAATATTTTTGCAAGCCAGCCACCAGGCAACTGGCTTAGTGCATACCCCCAAAAGAAAGACGATTGCACCAGTCCAGCCATAGATGAATTCCAACCAAACTCGTGAGACATCGGAATTATAGCAACACTCAGATTCACCTATTGATTGAAAGAATGTCAGTCTTTGTTTGACATTAATTACAGCTACCTACCGAACAATATTTTACAAGGTTCATCACTTGCTCGAAACTTTTCTTATGAAAACAATTCATGTTATTCCTGTTACGCATTACAGTTGATCCAACATAAGCACCCTAACAGGTTACCAAGCAACAACTTTTTCTTTCTTTCTGAAGAAAAATAGGAATTCTATTATTCCAATTAATTATTTCACTTTGCCACCATATTTTCCTTTCCCTTCATCTTTTGTCTTACCAAACACACCCTCAATAGGCAAGGAACTTGCAACCCCAATTGTTAAAAATTTGCCTTAGATTTTCAGTATAAAAACAAATCCATGATTCAACTTCACGAGAATATATCAAACAAAGCAATTAGAAGTTTTAAGAGTAAAAAGTTTCTAAATACCGAAGGCAAGAAATTTACCTTATCCATATTGCAAATAATGAAGGCCAGAGATGTAGTTCCAATGAGCTTATATCTTTGAGGAAGATTCTTCCATGGCGGATTCCAAACAAAACCCACTTTCTTTTCCCCAATTTCAGCCTCCAGTAAACCAACCTTCTCCTCCAATTCATCATTCACTTTAAGCCCTTTAAGTATTCTACGTTTTTCTTCAGCATTTGCTGTCTCTTTCTCTTTTATGCTGCAAGAAACCCTAAACTTTTTCAAGCTTGGATTAATGGGCAACGCATTCAAGTATTGGGATCTGATAGAAGTTCTTAAGATTGAAGCTTTTCGGGTTGTGTAAGCTGAATAATAACAGATTTTGGTGTCTGGGTTTATGGTGAACTTGGCCATCATTTTTTCCCTCTTATTTTCTTGAGGCCATAACAAGCCGAAGAAGAGTTCGAAGAAATAGCAAAAGACTAGAGATGTGGCGGTTAATGTAGTTTGAGAAGCACAGGACAACTAAGAAAGGACCATAGATTGCCACGAAGGTGGACGATTGTGGCGTCCAATTAAATTGAAAGTTTTGTAAATTATTAGGAATATTGGTAATATTCTTCTCTTTTGAAAGAGTGGGAGAAAAAAAATATATTATTCATCTTAAGCTTGATCGTCATTAATTTAAGTTGGTTAGAATGTATTTTTTTTCTTTATTAAATAATGCAGCAATGATCCCGTTCCCACGTCTCACTCTAAAATATAAATGAATAGTTGTTCTCAATTTTATTTAGAAGTATTTAAAATTATTTTCTTATAAAAAGTAAACTGCAATTTATTTTAAAAAAATTAAAAATGAATTAAAGTCCATTCTTAACTTAGCTATGTTGAGATATTTAACTATTATTGCAGCATATTGTGTGTATTCCGCTCCCTTCATTCATATTTTGACACTGAATTTTACAATCAAGCACGCAATTGTGGCCTCATCCCCATCATTCTCCCAAGGAATAAGACAATATGCTCTCTAATCGGAACATATCTCATCCCCAAATGAATCATCACCGATATAAGGAACGAGGCATTTCACATTGAACATATTAGATGTGCAAATATAACTCAACAACCAGAGGATGTAGGCATTTGGATTATTCTTCTCAATAATCTCAACTAGAATAATTTTTCGAGATGAAAAGTTGTTGCTTTCATGAGCCGGATACCTGTCCTAAGTGAACACAGACCACACAAAATAAAACGACGAAAACTCTACAGCCCAAAGATATTGGTCTGCTGCTGCTTTGTACCATGTGTTACTGAGTTCCAGCTTGGCACGAGTAGCCTCATCAACATCACGCAATCTGCTGACAAAATCAGCTGCCTGCCCATGAAAACGCCCTTAAAATGCAGAATAGAAGGTCCAAATGGCCACAAGGCAAGGCGCTATAAACAGCAACAAAGGGAGCAAAACCTGTGCTATTTGATTGTGGGCAAAGTCAATATAACAAAGCACCGATAACATGTTATATCAATTCATTGGTAGAGAAAATTTGGTGGGTCTCAACATTTGATTTAAATTTATTAAATAAATTCCATCCAGCCTAGTATCCACATTCCATTGCGTTGGTGCCCCTCATCCGCTTTTTATAGGGGAATCCATACTCACTGCTTAGGCTCACTTTGGAAAGGCTACTAAGGACCGAGTGAAGAACAAAAAAACGTCCGCTAAGGCCCCTGTGATTTTCAATTTTGATAATACTTTTAAGCGCTCTAACTATCCTTCGATGCTTACCACTCCTTGAGGCCAAGGATGGGGTCGAACCATCGTATATATATATATATATATTGTACAATTTCAGAAAAAAAAAAAATATTTAGAGGGTGTTTAATGCACATTTTTTACAAAAGAATGCATTTTATGATGTGATGTGATGAAAAATATGTGATTAAAAGATTAAAAAAATTTTGAATTTATTAAAAAATGTGTAATTGAAAATGAGTTTTGAAAGAATGAATTTTAAGAAAAATGTGGATCAAATATGATCTTAGCCTTTACACAAGAATTTACCATATCAAAGAGTGTGTATGTATATATATATACACATATATATATATACACACACATACTAGGTGCAAGTAACGTGTAATGCACGTTTGCCTAGTTTTGTTTAATAATTAATTTG